AGGCAATTTCCAGGTTCCCTCCCCCCACCCCCCACCCCCCACCCCCGCCCCCGGAAGCTCCTGAGACACACGGCTGTGAAGAACCAAGAAGGCCTTGGCCATGTCCAGCCGCCCCTGCTCCTGATCATCTTTCAAGTTGCAGAGGCCCCTGGCTGCGGGGTTGTTCTCTCCTCTCCTGGTTGGCAGGGTCTCTGAGAACCTTTCATTTTGGCTCACATCCTTTCTCAGGTCCGGTCTGGGGCTCACTTCACACAGAAACAAGTCCCCTCTGCAGGGTAACAAGATGCCCAGGGCCCCCTGGCTGGTGATACCAGGGGGGTGGGGGAGGCGCTAAAGGCCACCGCTGAGCATCAGTCAGTCAGAGGGCAAGAGGACGCCAGACAGCACTGGGCACAGGGCAGCAGGAGAAAGGATGAGGGGGGGTAGGGGAGCACTCAGGGCAGGAGTAGCAGACATTCTGCATCATCCCAAAAGGCAGAATTAGACTTAGCACTTGAATTATAAAGAAAGATATTTTAGCTCACCGAAAGAAACGTTTTCTAATACCTGGGGCTATCCAACAAAGGCATGGGATGCCCTTGGGGGAAGTGAGTTTCCCATCCCTAGAGACATCTAAGCAGTCACTTTGTGACAAGCACTTTGGTGGAGAGCCATCTGTCAGGGAGGCTGTAAAGAAAATGCCAGAGGTGAGAGAATGTGAGAACACTAAGGGTCCTTTTCAATCTGCAATTCCATGACATTTGACCAGGAAAGGCAGCCTGCAGACTAGAGAGAGAAGCCAAGAGATGGAGGGGGCCCCTCAAAGTACAGGGGAGGTGCCCAAGGCTGCTACAGGCAGGCCTGGGGAGCAGGACCCTATGCAGGGTTTAGGGAACACACAGCATCCCAGTCCCAGGGAAGTCCAGAGAAGGAGTCATCAGGGCTGGAATGAGGCAATGTAGGAGACAAGCCAAGGGTGGAAGGAGCTTCCAGAACTCTCTGGCTGAGGTGGGCAAAGGGCCCAAGCCCAGGGGTCAGAAAGTCAGCTGAACAGAATGCAGTAGGAAATCGGTTCTGGAATAAGGCTGGACTGTTCTCTCACCTCTGCAGAACTCTCTATGGCAAGATGGGGCCCCGGTTCTCCACGTAGTTGGCTGAGTGAGAAGCAAGACACACCCCCCCCCCCCCCCCCCCCCGCCATGTGCCAGATGACCTCTGACCACACTGGGGAAGGGCTGAGGGCTGCAGCGGGGCGGGCAAGGCACACCTCACAAAACCACTCTGTAAAAGGTCCCGAAGACAGACAATGAGCCTTATTATATTACTGTTCTCCTGCTTTTCGTCCACATTTCCTCTTCAAGCAGAACCCCCATACTATCTGATTTGCCATTTTCCAAACAAGGCGGAGGGCCCAGCGCCAACCCGAAATTGTGATTAAATGCATATATAGTGGAAAGAGCAAGACGGGATAAAAGCAGGGCTTCATTCTCTCCCGGCTGCCAGACTGTCAGCACAGTGCATTAAGCCTTCCTCCCAAGTGGTCACGAGAGCCCCCCAGTTCCCTGTGATCAGAATTTCAATGAGCACAAACTTGTAATTCTGGTCACAAGTGGGTTTTTATGTGTTGAATTCATCCCTTGGATCTGGTGATCCATGTGAGAGCAAAATGCCCATATGTGAAATGTGGCTGCCTCCCTGGCGAGAGCAACAGGGCCAGAGGGAAAGGTCCAAGGCCAGTAGAAATTCCCGCCCCGGGGGGCCAGAAGGGAACAAGGCAGGACAGAGAACGGGGATGGGAGGAAGGACTTGAAGGAGGACGGGCCAGGACTGGCCCACCTTCTAGGGCAAATAATAGGCAACAGTCACCCAGGCCTTGCAGCTCACGAGGTCCCTGCACGTCCTCGACGACATCTGAGCCGTACAACGGCCACATGATACAGGCAGGACAGATACTGTTGACATTCTCATTTACAGATGGGGAAACAGAGGCTCAGAGGGCAAGGTGGCTTCCCGGGGGACACACAGCTGCTAAATGATGCAAGAGGGGCTCAAAGCCAGGTCTCCTGCCTCTGAAGTCAGGGCTCTTTTTTAGAGCATGTCATGGCCTCTCAGTCTCTATGTCAGGGGTAGGCAAAACCTGTCCGTAAGGTGCCAGGTGGTAAATATTTTAGGCTTTGCAGGCTGCCCGGTCTCTGTTGCAACTATTCCACTCCGCGGCTGGATCATGAAAGCAGCCCACACGCAATACAGGAGTCTTCCACGCCTTCCCCACGCCCCCCACCGCCACTTCCCTGCAGGGCCAGTCCAAGACCCCCGGAGGATGCCTGCAACCCTGACACAGAACGCTTTATAAACTAGGTTTTCTCCTATCCATACATACTGTGACACAGTCTGACTTCTAAAGTAGACACAGTAAGAGTTTACCAACAGTAACTAATCGTGTTACGACCGTAATAATACGCGGTAATAACAGCGAGGTGAACGCGGTCTCCCTCTCTCAAAATTCCTTCCTGCCCTGTACTCACCCTTCTCCTGAAGACGGGGGAGGGTAAGAGCTGCGTGATGACGAAGGGAAGAGAACGACGCATGTTACGCTACTACTCACCTTCCGACCCTGGATCAGAGCGAGGATCATCCGCTCGCTCCGGATGTGGGTTCACCTAGAGAAACTCAACCGGCGGGAAGGGAAACACGGCAGCTACAACGCTACGTAAAAACTACGTCAGCAAAGGGGCGTGGCCTTGTGCCAGAAACTTTGTGGGCAGCAGACCTCGGAACTTCGTGTAACTTTCCTGTGTCATCAGCTGTTGTTCTTGTTTTAGTTCTTTGCAGCCCTTAAAAAATGTAAAACGTCTTTGTTAGCTCCAGATCCTCGCAAAGCTACACCCAGTCGGCCACCGTACTTGGCGTTGGCCACCAGCTGCCCCAGGCTGCCTTGGGCGTTCAGGCCCTCTTCTGTGTGTCTAGGCAGGAACTTCAGGTAACTCTCCGCGCTGCGGCCTGGAACAGGATCCGAATGGCTTGATGCTGCCGCAGGGTAATCACAGCACACTCTATTCACCAGCGAAGCAGCTCAAAGCTCTGAAGATTGGGGAACTATTGCCCTTTTTCTGTTGGGCTGGAGGGGGTGAGAAGGAGCATGTCCTGTGCCCAGTGTGGGTAGGCAGGGCCAGCTTTCCCTGCCCATGCAATGCTGGGTGATTGGCCTGAGCTCCATGTTCCCCTGAGTGCAGTGGAGAACGAGGGGGGGGGGGGGGTTCGGCTGGGGTTTCCTAAAGGTGGAGACAGATGACAGCGCCAGTTCTGCAACCTCGGGTATTGTGCCTTCAGCTCCTTGCCTGCCTGACAGTGAGCAAGGAACAGAGATGAAAAGAGAGGGGAAGGTCAAGTTGGAGGAGGGGCTAGCAAGTTCACTGTGCTTCCCGAGCAAGCGTGGGACCAACATGACCTAGTGATGGATGACAGGAATTGTTGCCCTAGCCAGTTCTGAGGTCGGCCTGTGGTTTAATCAATGCTATTAACATTCTCCCTAGAACTGATTTCTGTCTGGCCTTTTAGGGAGCTACCATTAGTTCATAGGGTGCCTTTCGACAAATTAGAAAAAGGCTTCCTTCCTCAAGACACTTTACTGCCATCTGTTGGATAACTGTCATCATAAATACACAAACCTACAACCTCTATGATGTGAAAGATGTCTCTTTACATAGTCTCAATTGTGCAGTGCACAACCTGCGTATCTGAACCCAGGAACACTACCTTTCAGGAAGTAGTTGCCTTTTGCTGAAGGTCAGTGTGAGCTCAAAGACACCAAAGTAGTTTGAACATTGATCTGAACAACATACAAGAAGGGAAATAGACCAGAGATTAAGGTAATTACATGGTATCTCTCAGAGCCAAACAGAATTGAGTTGGGGTACTGCACGGATGGCATTAGCAGCAGCCTAAAGACAGATGGCCCTCAAGGCCACAGCATATGGCTGTCTGTGCCCTGCTTGCCCTGCCCAGAGGATCCACAAGCCCGGCCTTGCCCCTTATTTCCTCTGTAGACTCCATGGCAGAGGCACAGGCCTGCTCCCTCTAAACAGGAACCGTGTCCCCTGTGGGCCAGCCGGAAGCTGCCTGTGTGGGCTTCCAGAAAAGGCAGGCACTGGCAGGCCCGAGCTGCCTCCTGCGCCTGGTGCGCCAACCACCCCCACAGCCTCGCCTGCGCTCTGTCTGGAACAGTCAGCACACAGCAGCGACAGGACACATCTGAGAGAACCACCCTGGGCGACGTGGGGGAGGCGCAGCCATGAGTGGGCTGGATCCCCCAAATCTCAGCGCTGAGCTGGGCTAAGCTGGTTGTCACGTTCCCGATGACAGGAGTCAAGCAAATGCCCGGAAACTAAGCCTCGGTCCTGCTTGCCAAGGAAGGGACCATCCCACACCCAACGTGATTTATGCCTCGCAGTAGCTCACGTGGCCCAAGCTTTTTTAGGAAGCTGGGAATCATGAATGAAGTGATCCTGAATTGCCGCACGGTGTTTCTTTCCCTAGCCTTCGCCCCCCATTCTCAGGTCATGCATATTTAGAATATTTAGACAGTGGTTTCATTCGCCCTGCCCTGCGGGTGAGCAGTGGGAAGGGGTGGCAGGAGGCTGGCTGCACCTGATTCCCTCCCGCCCCCACCCGAGGCCACGGCTGCTCCCTGGCACCTATCACTTCCACTCATCCAGAGCCAGGCACTGGGGAAGTGCCAGGGGAGAACACGGAAACAGGCGAGAGACGTGATGCGGGGCTGCCCTGGGGATGGAGGCGAGGGGAATGTTCTCCCCCAGCCAGGGAAGGCCCCCAGCTCCTCTGGCCTGCCTGCACCGGTGCTGGGAGGAGTGTCCACGGACCCAAAGGATGGGCCGCAAGGCTACCCGTGGGGAACTGCTTCTTGGCCACTGAGCAGTGAACCAGGTCCCCAGACTCAAGTCTCCCTCCCCTGTTGCTGCCCCCAGAACGTTTCCTCTCCCTTCCCTTGGGTCCAGAGGCCCGAATCGCTCACCCAGATTCGTATGCTTCTTCAAGTAGGACTGGAACTTCTCTGCTTTCTGGAGAATACCCTCAATCTTGCCGCCCTTGTAGACACATGCACGCCGCAAGCTGGTAAGAGCCTCTGATGCTTACTGAGGACTGACTGTGGGCCGGTCACATCTGTTTCTCATGTAATCCTCACGATGACAGACCCTATTACTACTGTGGTCACTGCTTACTGAGAAGAGAATGGAAGCAAGAGGTGAAGAAACCTCATCAAGTTCCCACAGTTAGAAAGGGTGAAGCCCGGACTCAAGAGGTCCAGGCAGGAGGGTTCACTCTCATCTGTCCTTTCGCCCACCCCACAAGGTCTAGCTGAAAGCCCACCTCCCAGGCCCAGGGTGTTCCATTCCAGAACTCCTGTGGCCTGTATCATTTATTTGGCACTTAACACGTGCTCAAGCACAGGCCATGGGGTGAACTCAGCTGAGCCTGGTTGCACAAGGACATTAAAACACTGCTCAGCCGGGGTGCCTGGGTGGCTCAGTTGGTTAAGCAACTGACTTTGGCTCAGGTCATGATGTCACAGTTTGTGGCACCCGCACCGGGCTCTGTGCTGACAGCTCGGAGCCTGGAGCCTGCTTTGGATTCTGTGTCTCCCTCTCTCTCTGCCCGTCCCCCACTTGTTCTCTCTCTCTCTCTCTCTCTCTCTCTCAAAAATAAATAAAGTGTAAAAAACAAAAACAAAAAAACATTGCTCAGTCATTAACAGTTGCTCCCGGGTGGTAATCAAGAAAAAATACTCCGTCCTTTGTTTTACCCCCAAATCATAGACAGCTAGCACATCTTTTTGGGAAGCTGTGACGTAAGCCTGATGTGATCAGGTATTGAAAGAGTATGGAGTAGGTAGGCTTTTTCTCCTTTTATCTCACTGCACTCAGCCCCTCTTATCCAGTTCACTGCCAAGCCCCGCAGAGCTATTTCCACACGCCCCTCAGTCACTCGTCTCCCTTGGCTCCCCCTCATGTGGCTCTACAGCAGACCCTCCCCTTCAACCTGCACACCCCAGCAATCTCGTCCATTTCTTCCCTTTCCAACCCAGATTCCACTCTGCTGCAGGAGCTTATCGTCCTCTAATGCACTTCTCATATGCTGCTGGAGGAACCAGAACACCACACAGCCTTCCTGGAGGGCAGGTGAGTACTGCCTGTCAAAAGGCTTAACATTCTGCAAATCCCGGAGCTAACAATTCAGTCCCTGTGCCTAACAATTCATTTATATGAGGAAATACTTGTGTTCACAGATGACCTGTAAAGATGTCCATCACAGCATCGTTAATAACAAAAAAAAATTGAGAACAACCTAAAAATATCCAGAATGGGGGATTGCTGGGGTGAATTATGATATTCACCCACGTGGCCATTTAAAATAATGGTTTAGGAGATTATTTAATGTTTTAGTATTCAGTGAAAAAACCTAGTTACAAAGTCGACTGTGATACAACACTACTTTCCGTCAGTATGTAGTGTTTAATGCATTCATGCATAAAAAAGCACAGGAAGGAGATTCACCAAAATGTTAACAGCAGTGTCTCCGAGGCTCTCCTACACAGGGATTAAGTTCAAGGTTCTGGGTTTACTCTTGGGCCCTTCACTTGTATGCACATTACTTAACCACTCTGTGCCTCAGTTTGCTTTACCCATAAAATGGGTATAATAATAATAATAATAATAATAATAATATATCTGTCATGGTATTGTGAAGATGAGCTAGACAGATAGATAGTGATTAGAACAATATCTGACATTGAGTGAATGCCCAATAAATTTTAGCTATTATCATTTTGGGGTAATGGGATTATGGAAGATTTTATTCTTCTTCGAACTCTTGCATATTATTTGTACTTTTAATAATTTATACAACAGCCATTTTTCTTTTCCCTGCAATTGAAAACTAAAGATTGAAGTCACCTAAACTTCAATTGAATATTCAATTTGAATAACTCATGCCCTGTATAGTCTGGAAGGAGCTGTTGAGAACTGCCAGCTTGAGGAAAACCCATGCACATGATGGACATCCTTACACCCTCAAGCTGGCTTTGGTACCAGAAACCTTTGAGCTTGCTGGTCTGGGCAGCTAGGAGGCTAGGGGGAGGGTTGAGGACTGGATGAAGGAAGAGAAAAAACAAAGGCAGGGGCCACCTGATAGACATTCAGCTCCAGGTAGGTGGGAACCCCTTCTCTGACACCCCTGCACCACCCTGGCCGATGCTTGGGGCTCAGGGGAAGGGTCCAGCAGGAAAACATTGGTGGCTGGAATGGACACCCACAGCTGGATCAGGCCCAAGGCAACGTCTGTATCATAAGTTCTGATTTCATGCACACAAAATGCAGCTCTGAGAAAGTACTCTCCATAAATGGGATGGGAGGAGTGTTATTATAAACACCTATTTGAAAACCTCCCTCTGTTGAAAGCCTAGCAAACTCCGTCTCAACTATGAAGTCTCAATTGGGCATCACTTACTCTATGAAGCCTTACTGATTCCTCCTTCCTCTATGCTTCTAGTGATACAGGTCAGTCCCTAATAAGAACATTCTATCTTTTTGCACTCACTATTTCCTGGCTTGACCCTCTCCCCTCTAGTTGCTAAGTTCCTAGAGAGAAAGGTCTGTACATATTTATCCTGAGCAAAGGATCTGGTACATAGAAGATTCCCAAATAGTGCCCATTGAATCACTGAATGACATCGGAGGAGCACAAGGTGGCATCTGGAGCCCAGGGCACTAGCTCTGCCCACACTGTGTCACCAAGAGCAGGTGGCTTAACTTTCCAAGGCTTCTGTGTTCTGCAAAATGGAGGAAGAGCAGATAAGGTCCCTTCTGGTCCTGAAATTCTCTGATACTCGTCACTGGGGCCTCATTGGAAACAGTTCTCTTCTTCCCACTCTTTCCGGAGATGATTTTCTGCAATGTTAGGTGGGAGCAGATGGGGTGGGCGGGGAGCTGCTGGGAAGTTCAGAGGAGGAGAGCGCTGCAGGACTGGCCCAGCTCCCCCCGCCCCAAAGCCCTCTCGCTCTGAGTCCAGCTCTGAGTCCATGGGCCCAGGACCACCTCCCTAGAGGTCAAAGGAACAGTAACTCCCAACTGGCGTCCACAGCAAATCTAGCTCAGAGGGCTTTGGATAGCGTTTGAGCTGAGTTGAGGGGACGCATCGGGGAGAAGGAAAAGCGTTTGGAAAAGAGACACTCCCTGCAGGCTTTAACTGAAATCAAGGTCATCAGCCTGTTTCCAGTTGTCTAGATGAGCCTGCTGCCTTTTAGAGGCGATCCCGGCACTGAGTGGCTCCAAAGTCCTATCTGATTCTGAAAGGCCAGAATCTTGAGTCTATGCATCTCAGAGTCAGAATAAGCCTGGATGTAGGGGAAGAAGAAGGTAAAGCATCAGGATCATAACCACCACCACAATACTCGTTTACTGAGCGCTTACTCTATGTCCAGCACTACAGTCAGTCTTTATGTACATTTCCCCAATTAATCAGCCCAACCACTTTATAAGTGGGAATTAGTGTTATCCCCACTTTACAGACGAAGAAATAGAGGCACAGAACTTAAGACATCTGCTCATGCTTACCCAACCAGTATAGAGTGGCAGGGTCAGGTTTTGACCACAGAGAAGGGGAGTCCAGGGACCAAGCCCACAGTGGGGAGACAGACACTATGCAGAAGAATAGTAAGTATTGGGGTGGGAGTGGAATGAGGAAGAAGTGTCCGCAGCAGAAGGGAGGTCACCGAAAGCCAATTTCCCCTGCCCCATGGAGGAGGGCTAGCCCCAGACCCGTCCTTCTCTCTTTTGATATGACACTCTACTGATCCTAAAAAGACCCCCAGAGGCCACCTAATGCACCCATTCTATAGAGGAAGAAACTGAGGATGGGAGCGAAACTGAGATCTGCCTCGGGTCTCATCGCTACTGGTGGCAAAGCGAGAACGAGAACTCAAGGTATATAGTCTCATGTGCTTTCTGAGCCAGAGAGCTATATTTTTTAAAATCAATGATTTAATTACTCTGTGGTGTCATCCTGTAGAATGGGGAAATAAGTCAGGCCTGCTGGCTTGTGTGACAGAGCCCTCATGATAGGTGCTTTCTGCATCAATCACCCAGGCTGCTTTCATGCTGCATCTGCTTTGGCACCAGGCAGTTCTCAGGAAGGCCCATCATAATCCACCACAGGTCAGCGAAATGTGCACATGCCCCTAAAATGTTAATCATGAGCCCTTTCTCGTCCAATCACTTCTTCAAATGCACCGTGGGCACCATGCCCAGCATGGTCTTGCCAAGACTGGGTGCACATCTGGAGCTGTGTGATAATGACTGTGTAGCACAGTGTGGGCTCTAACAAAATTATAACCCAGTTGCCCGATGAAATCACTGGGAGTGGAAACAGTGATTATGCTGGACAAACACAGTCCCATTGCTACCTGTTCTAGCTGGCCTATGGGCAGCTTTCAGCCTCAGCATTAGCTGTCCTATTTGCTATAGCAAAAGAGAAGGAGGAGGAAGAGGAGGAGAAGGAGAAGAAGGAGAAGGAAAGGAAGAAGAAGGGGGAGGAGAAAAAGAAGGAAGATGGGGAAGAGGAAAAGAAGGAAGGAAGGAAGGAAGGAAGGGAGGGAGGGAAGGAGAGGAGGAGGAGAGGAATGGAGGAAGGTGGGGAGGGAGGGAGGAATAGAGAAAGAAAGGAAGAAAGGAAGAAAGAAAAAGCCCCAGACTTGGAATCTGAAAGAAAAGGGGGAATTCGCCACTCCCCAACCTGCACGCTCCAGGCCCACCTCCCCAGTGGTTGCAACTTCTCATGGACCCCCTTCCCTTCAACGGCCAGCCCCTCGGTCTCTCTGGGACACAGCACAACATTGGCTGCAGCCATGTTTATTATTAACACACCAAAGAAGATAAATGCTCCTTTAGATAAAGGATTGTCCCAAAGGAAGCCTAGGGAACAGGCTCCACTGAGAATGGGGAGCGACAGGACCCACTTCAGACAGGGCCCTTCCGAATGCAGGGCCTCCTCCGCTGTCTGCGAGGCCTGGGTCTGCAACATCGATGAGCTGTTGTGCCTGGGTTCTGACAGCCCTGGGGTGTGAACAGCCCCCAGGCCAGCTGGAACTCAGCTCTTGGCTTCAGAGGCCTGTCGCATTGCCAAGTTGGCAGAACTTTCCCGAAGCAATGTGGTGTGGGCTCAGTACTAATTTCAGCCACGTGATCATCTCAGTGCTTTTTAAGGTGGGCGGGTTTGTGGGTTGGTGCCGGGATGAGAACAATTACTTGTCCAGGAAGCAGGAAATGACATCATATTGGCAGTGAGAAGGCCAGGCATGGTCTGTCTTAAACAGGTCTGGCCCTCTTCAGCCCCAGAGATGTGTTCTGAGCCTCCCTGGGGCCAGAAGGATGGGCAGCCCTGTGCTCTCAGCCTGTGCAACTCTGTAGCACAGTCACCAGTTGCACCTGGGTGCCGTGCCCATGAATGTCACACCAGAAGTAACAACATCAAGGTTCATCAAGGGAGTGAGTTCGGGGAGTGGGAGACCCGGAGCCAGGTAATAGAGACAAGGAGGCATTTAGCTAGCAGAATACCAGAGAAAGCCAGTGCTACAAAGGACCTCGGAGAACGTCTAGCCCAGCCTTCTGGTCAGATGAGGAAGCAGCCCAGAGAGGACAAGTAACCTGCCTAAGGCACACAGTTACCAAAGGGCAAGACTAGAAGCCTGTTATCTGCCTCCCACTCCGTGGTAGAGCTCTTTTCACCCATCTCTGCCGCTGGCCTTCATAAGTGATTGTGTCTACACACACACACACACACACACACACTCACACACACACACACTCACACACATGCCTGTTTCTTACTAATCTTCACTGAAGTCCCTTAGTGCCAGTGACCAAGTTGGCAGGTACAAGAGAAATAAATCACCAGGTGGGTAGACCCCAGTGTTATGCCCAGAGAAACCTGAGCTTGGCTGGAGAGCCCAGATAGACACATAGTCAGCAGTTAGCACCCAAAGAGGCCAACAGCAGTCCCTGAGATATGGAGTGTCTCAGCCATTTAGCCATCTCAAAATCCCTGGGGGCTACAACCACCCCATCAGCCATGGTGGCTCCTTCTGGCTACGAACTGGCCGGATCATGCCTACATCTCAAGGAGC